ATTATGTTAAGAAAATTCAGTTTTTAAATTGAATGTTATGTACACTCCAAACATAGTTAAACAAGCATCAGCTTATAGCCAGTTCGTAGTAGTTGCTCATTTGGCTAATTAAAATGGGATGAATAAACAAGCCCGACACACACTTTTCTACACATGTAAAGGAGGGAAAAAAATGCAGAGTCAATTATGAAATATCGGTGGAGCATGAGACACCGTTATGTGGAGCTGCCTGCCGTTGGCGTTGCGTTGGATATATATTCGCAGCTGCTTCATAAGCTCATAATTCATATATCGAACGGCAGTGGCAGTGGCAAATCTTGAACGAACGCCGGAAATCACGTACCAGCGGAAAAGTTGCCACGTTGCGTGTTGGATTTTAGCATTATTGTCTTTTAAGCTAAGACAGAGTGAGTATCAGCAGCAGCCCCTCTTCGTCGACCACAACAGCTAATTAACGTTAATTTATTAAATCAGTGTGTAAGTAAAGGCATGCAGTGGCCGGGCGGGTGGGCGGTTGGTTGGGTAGCTGGTTTAGTGGCTGCCAGAGGCAAAGATAAAAGTTTCACACGACTTGCTTACGCTCGAGATGCCTCAGACTTAGATTGAGACTGAGACCGGGGCTAAGGCTTAAGGCTGCCACTTGGGTGGGTTTTTCTTAGCTGGAAAAGCATGAAAACCACACGCAGCAATTATTAATTCAATTATTTTAGCGCAAACAGCACCTAAGACGCTGCTGCGCCAGTTCCCGGACCGGGACCCGGACCAGAACGAAACTCAAGCAAAGACATAAATGGTTTTGGTCTTATTTCAAGTGCGATGGGCGGGGCAACAGCAGGGGAAAAAATGATGCTGTCTTTGAGCGTGCTGCTGAAATAGAGTAGCACAAACACAATTAAGACGGCGAGAACATCAAGAAAGAGCATAGCAAAGCAGCTATGTGGGCGGCTGCATGTGCCCTGGTTAGGGTATGCGATTCTTGATGCGCTGTGCAAATAAAGTGGCAAATTTAATTAGGAACTTTCCACACACACACAAAGTGAGCGAAGCAGCGAAAGAGGAAGAGAGAATGTGACTTACCACCTGCTTACGTGGGACTGTCCACTGGTCGCCGCCGCCGCCGCCGCCGGACATGCAAATTAATAACAGGCATCCGTTTCCGGTCAAAAATGAGCATGCCAAATGCGACGTCATGATGCTAAATTACAAGCTGAGCGCAACTGTAACAATAATAATAATAACAATAACGAGACGGAACGGGTGGCTTGGGCAAACTGAATATTAAATACCCTCTTATATATGTAGCCTAGAAGTGATTTTCTACAATAGTTTTATTATCGGTCGAATGCTTTTATGAAAGCCGTAAGATATAATATTCCGATTTGATAAAGGTTGGAAGATATTTTGAAAAAAATCATGAACCTCTCAACTGCTGACTTGGGTCAAGATAACGTGAAAGACAGAACAATGCTTCACGCTAAAAATGATTTGTTCTTCCCGAAAAGATATATTACATAGTAAACTGATCTTGACAAAGTTTTATATGTAGCTTGGTTAAACTTATAAAAATATTTAGTTAAACTAAATGTGTGTGATAAAAGAGCCTAATTGTCACCCGATCATTTACCTGTTAGCTATATGATGGCGTCTGATCCGGACTGCAACATAAATATGGACTTAAGCAAAGTGTCATGACGATATGGATATGACTATGATGTCTCGGCTGTTGCTACTGAGCAACAATATACATATAGATTATGAAGTTGGATTCTATGCATTACACACTTTGTGACAAAATTATAATATCCTCTACAAGGGTATAATAACAATAATAATGAGAGCCGTGGCCAAAAATGTTAAAGGCAACACATCCGCAGCGACAAAACGTGTCCGTAACAACTTCCGTAGCGGAATGTGAGGCACTTTTGGCAGGGGAGTCGCCAAATGGCAACAAAAAAGTAGGTAAAATGGAAAAGTTTGCAACTTAAAGTCACCTGCGCTGGTTCCCAAACTACAGAACAGCCCCTAGTTTAAGTAAAAGTTTACGAGCTGGGGCAGGGGCCAGGTTCTGGATGGGGCTGGATCGGATGGGATGGGTGGTTGTCCCTTTTGTTTCAATTCACGGCAATTGCAAGTCAGCTCATCAGGCATCAGGTATAATTTGGCCGGGGACTATTTCATTTTACGGCCAAAGTGGCGCATTTGCATAAAGTTTTATTTTCTTTGACCCGCACTTGGGGATTTCCATTTGTCGTAGTCGCCAATTTCCATTTCATGTTTCCTTTGTATTTGCTACTTTGTCTACACGGCTACGTCGCCGGTCGTCTATGATGTGATTTCTTCTTTTTGTTTTATTTTTTTGTATTTTTGCAGCTGCAGCTATTGAATTTCAATAACATCTGGTTGGCACAGCGGGGTCAGCTCTCTGCTTAAAGCTGTGACCATATCCATGTCCTGGTCCTGGCTTGAATAATACGCTGTGCATGCTAATACAATTGTTTACATATACGCACACACAGTCACACCGTCAGACGTCATACGTCACGCCCCCACCACTTACACACGCCCACTCACACCCCACCCCAGCCCATCACACACACATACACGCAACGCCAATAAAAGGTAATTTCAAAATCAAACACTTGCCCAAAAAGGCGGGTGGAGAAAGTCTGCTCAAGTGAGGGCCAGAGTAATGTGAAGGATGGGGGGTTTTATAGAAGCTATCGTCGTCGATTCGCCGTCTCACAGTAAATCCTTTCAATTGCTGCAATTTACAGGATAAATAGGATCAAAATCGAATTTAAACGGCAAACAAATTTTTCGTGATTTTGATTTTGTTGACAGAACTTTTCACTTATGTTGCAAAATAAGCAGATTATGTGATGACGACGTCGCTGATGCTGTGCAGGATAAGCCAACAAGGGTTGCGCCTTGTCTATTGAACACCTACAGCACACGCGCACACACACACACACACTAGCACACACACACTCACACTCGCCACAACAACACCCGCCACCGAGTACCAATTGCATATATCAAAGTTGTGCGCATTTCGCGCGTATATATATTTTTTAAATGCTGTAAAATATTTAAATTAAATGTTCACATTCACAGTTCAAGGAGCACGCTTAGAACTATCAGCCTAGACCCAAACTATATACCTACCAATATACCAATACCCATACCAAATGTGAAATCACTCGATTTTATTTATTTTTACTCAAATAACTTTGTCGGGCAAAACTTCTGCAGAAAAGGCAGCAAAGTTGGGCGCCAACTTTCGACACGAGTCCTTGGAACCTCCTGCGGGTACAGCTCGACTGGCAACATAAACAAGATTAATTTCACATGTGCATGTATGTGGGTTGGGCACACTCGGATTTTGGTAGTTGGGCCGCGCCAGTTATTACTTTGATTATGTTTATTTTAGTCATGAAATCCTAATGCCGGTTTCTTGTGCACTTCTCGTTCATTTAATAAGCTCGTAGACGAAGCGCGAAATTATTTTCACTGAATTTTCGACTGGCAATGATTGCTTTTTTGCTGCGCACAAGTTTTGTGTGATTAGCCAAGTGAAAAAACACGAGATTAGGCAAAACTATTTAGACTTCATTAACTTGTGAATGCAAATTATATAAATATTCTACTGAGGTGCGAGGCAGTTCCCAGTTACATCGTAAAGATAGCGATAGCGATAGCAATTTTCTCAACTACAAATTAAATATATTTGTATGTATTTAATAACAATACATTATAAAAGTTTAAAAGGCATAAGTGAAATGTTTCGTGAATAGTTAGCACACAAGCTTTGCAGTCGTGTCAACACTTCTTTTGACACATTTCAATTTCAATGCTTTGTTAACCGCGTTTTTAATACTTTATCAACACGATTCGACATTTTTTTAACACATTTCAAGACACTATGAAAACTTGTTGGGCACATTTTTAAACACTTTGTTTCAACAGTTGTAAATTTTTTTTTTCAAAATTACACTTTGACACTTTTTCAGGACTTTTTCAACACAATACTCAACACTTTTTTCAACACTTTTCCAATTTTTCTACTCTTTTTTCAACACCTTATTCAACACTCTGTACCCTTTTAGCAGCATGTTTTATGTTTTGTTAAATACTATTTAAATGATTTCTCAATTTATAAATCGGAGGGCGAACGGTTGTTCGATAGACGAAGCCACAAGCTAAATACATTTTGAAATAATTTTTAGTTTACATTAAAAAGAGGGAGCCCACGTCTGCCCATGACATGCTCATCCTCCTAGCTATTTTTGGTATTTGCATTTTCATCATTTAAAGCACATTTCATCCGTCGCTGATCTCAAATGATTGCTCGCCGTCCAATTGGCCCGATCACAATCGGCCCGCACGCAACATTCAAATGGCCAAAACAATCTACAAGTGCATCTGCCAACTTGGCGGTGCTCCAATAGCCGCCACCATCGCCAGCAGAAGCGGACGACTTAAGTGCTTTTAATTATGTCCACGTCCACTTTACACCAAATATCGCAAGTTTCCGAAATGCGCAAATCATGGCTACGGTTCTGGCTCCGACGCACTGCACCCGCCTGCAGCTCCACCTTTGGATGGGGCGGGCGCAATTAACGAGTGCGGGCAAAAACTGGAAGCTCGCCGGCGTTGCTCTAAATAAACCGTAACAATTTATGAAATTTTAATTTCCTACACTTAATAATACGCCGAGTTATGGGCGAAAGAAGCGAGCAAATTCTCCTATAAAGACATCAACGTGAGTTGCTAGCGCAGGTGTGGCTGGGGGCAAGAGGCAAGCAGTAGCAGCTCCGTCTCTGTGCTGGCAACTTGCAACTTGTGTGGCATGGCAGCAGACGGCCACGTTGGGCATAACTAGAAACGGTGCGCCAACGCGGTGTTCGGCTAAATTTGGCGTGTTCGTTGCCGGCGTCTGATCCCCGCCAGTTCACGCCAGGGATTTATCGCACTTATGATGTGTGAATTAGCATAGATTTGTTTATATTTTTATTAACACGCATATACATATACGTATACATATACATGCATATATCCGATTTCATAGGCCAGACTCGGGCTGATCGAGCGCCAAGTCGAGGCGACTCTGCGGCAGAGAGTTGATCGAGCTGGTCTCGGAATTGGCATGATCTGATTGCCCATCCTTGTCATAGGTAATGGTGCTAATGTCGCAGAGCATTTGCTCCATCAGCAGCTGTTGCTGTGCCAGGAATTCCGTCTGTAAGCGCTGCTGCTCCTCTGCCTGTTGCGCAACCAGCTGTTGGAAGCGTTGCCGCTGTTGCTGCTCCATCTCCTCCAGCACTTTGCGCTTGATCTGCTCCGCAGTGCTACAATCAGCGCTAGAAGCTATATGACCCGCGCTGCTGTTGGACAGGGATGTCGTAAGTATTGACTGATTGGCGCAGCTTCCGCTCGATTCGACTTTCTTCAAAGCCGCTTCACGCTTGAGCGTTGCACGCGGATCATAGCTAAGGCGCCGCTGTGTGCTACTAATCCGCGTGCTGCTGTCACTGCTCACCATCTGCACATTGGCATGGGAGGAGGCGTGCGCGGCATAGCTGACATTGCCGCTGGAGCGAGGTGTTCGCTTGCCGGACTTGTTGTTGCTTCCAATCCGCTTCTGCGGCGTGTTCTTGGCCACCTTGTTGGCCCGATGCTTCTCCGGCGTTGAGTGTTGCTGCTTCACCTGGATCTTGCTGTTGCTGCACATGCTGCTTGGCGGTGAAGCAACGCTTGGCAAATCCGTAACCGGACTTGCGGCTGCATTGGGAGAACTGGGCGCCACCATTTCCATCAGCTTCAATTTGTAGCCAAGCGGATAGGAGTGGTAGCGCTTCCACAGCTGCGGATGAAGTCGCTCGCAACGCTCACTGCTGCTATTGGGCGGCACATTGCTAGCCGTCTTTTCATCTTTCGTGGTCAGCGCAGGACTCGTAATGGCACGTTGCAGTAGTTCGCGGTCGCGCTGGTCAATTGACTTTTTCAGCATCTGAGCGACGTCCAATAGTTGCCGAATGGCCTCAAATCCACACGGCTTTTTATTTTCTTTCTGTTCGGGTTCGGCATTCGGAATTATGTTGCACGCTGACGGCTCCTGCGGCTGCAAAGGGCTGCACCTGGTAGTAGGCACCTGCGTTGACATAGGCTCAGCCGTTTCCAGCGAGGTTGCCGAAAGCGTTGCATATAAAAGAGCGGGCTCCTTAAGCACTGCGTGCTGTGGCTGTATCTCTGCGAATTCCTCGCACAGCATTTGCACCACCGGCGACTTCTTGAGCGGCGACCCTATGGGCTTGATGAACTTGATAATGGCGTTGCATTTGTTGTCATAGATCAGCGTCTCCGAGAACTGCAGTTGCTGCTTGATGCGACCAACGACAGCCAGCGGCTGTTGCACCAGCTCCGTGTTGGTGCTGGCATCCACAAGTCGACAGCAGCCGCCGCCTGCTACGTGCGTCCATTGTTGCATCTTGTCTGCACCTGACAGCTTTGGCAGACGCTCTACCTGCTCCTCTATGGCCATGGCGGCCAGTCGGTGTTGTTGCATCTCCAGCCGTCGCTCAGGTGTCATCTGCATAGAGATCATATACTTAAGAAGTGTGCTGAATTCCGCACGCTTTCTGATCACTTACCAAGGGTGACAAAATGGATTTGCCATTGAGTGTAAAAACGGATTTGTAGTGACTGTTTTCCTCCTGCTGCTGATGCATCTCCGCCCATTGTTGATCCACCTCTTCGGCTACTTTCAATATGTACTCCATAATAAGTTTGTTTGATTGCCAATTAGTAAGCCAGAAAATGATTATTTGATATTTGAGAATTTTTTCGAACGCATTCAAGCGTAAGACAACATTAGTTTAATAAATGACAGATAGTTATAAAGTGACTTCGATTACAAAATAATAAAGTACTGATTACAAAAGTAATATAGTAGAGTAGTAGAGTATGCTCGATTAAGAGACACCCTATAGGCAGCTGCTTGGTCAAGTCAGTCTGTATGAACGAGTCGATCTCGAAGATTACAAACACCAAAGACTTTAAATTTTAAATATTTATCTATTATTTTTCATGGATTACTCCATTTTTGTAATATCGAAAAATATCGATTTTAAGACTTGGTTATTTTTAAGCGAAGAGCGAAAATAATAAGCGTTAGATACACAAACCTTGGCGAGTTCCCTTGTTAAATTTTGGGAAAACAAAGTCTGGTATTTACGTACGTTTTGGTGATCAGCTTATGCCCATGGAGTATATCCACCGAAGTACATACATAAGGAAGGTCGCTTGTTTTTAAAGGCTGTTCAGCGATGGTCTTAGGATATTGCCTAGTCGGGCACTCTTGAGTGTAAATTACCTTGAAATTGAAATACTTACATTGAAATTTTGATTACACGCCTATTATTATATGCCCGAGATACGAATAATAGATCGTGTATCTTAATCGATAAAAGTCTTTGATCGAATAGTCTGTGGATGTCCTCCATATCCTATTAAGAATATTTGTATGCTCTAAGGAGCATGCATTCTTTAATATATACTTTCTTTTCATTCCTTCTCAATGGCTGCAGAGTATATAGAAGTTCCATTGCCTAGAAACTAGAAAGCTTGGTGCGCACATTGATATGCACTGCACATGGCAGGACACACTGTACAGGCTGACAAATGGGCCGGTCGTCGGCGTTGCCGAAGCGTGCCACAAGGTGCCAGCCGGCAGCAGCCGTCCACAAATGCGTTGCAGCAACAACACAAATAAAGTCCACTCCATTACCGGCTGCCACTCTGTGTGTGTGTGTGTTTGTGTGCTGTCCTTTGAGACGCAGCCAACTTGTGTGCACTTCCGACCCAAAACGTATATGTCGGAAATTTGTCTTGCGGGTTTGAGTGCTTGTAGGTGTGTGTGATTTGTTTTTTAAATTTCTCTGCAGCCTTAAAAGAAAAATAGAAAACGCAACGGCATACGGTGTGCGCGAGCGGAGAAAATGCCACTGCCGCCGGCCAATTTGTCGCATAGTCCACCCCCCTGGCAGCTGGCAGGACTAGCCCGGGTTTCTATTTGTGTTTTGGCAATGGAGTCACGTAGCATTTCACTTGCATATTTGCCCAATGACATGCGACAATTTTCCACTAAATTTGGCATGTCAAACATATTTGCAGCCAGCAGCGGGCAGAGGGTGCAAGGCAATGAAAAATAATTCCAATTAATACATTAACAACTCGAGATAAGCGTCAGGACAACTGAAGAATGGCAGCTGGAATCAGGCGAATGTCAGGTAATAAACGCTGTGTGGCCCATTCTCGTTATATCTCACTGGCATTGCGTGCCAAAGTCGCCAAAGTTTTGCGCCACGGCAATTTGTTTCAAGTGGCAATTCGGGAGCGTGCCAAGTGCCTTGATAACAGTAACGGCTCCACCAGACCGTTAGTCTGGCAGGTGGGTGTGGGTGTGGGTGTGGTTGGTGTGCCCCACCGCCTGGTCACAAAAGGTATTTATCTCATTGTACAGATTAAGTGTTGTCTTCAAATTAGTTGAGAATATGGTGAGGGGAGCGACGTGAACTCAATCAAAGTACGTGCCAGGCAGCTAGGCTGTACTTGAGCCTGTCGTTAAGGTGTATTTGAAGACTTCTCTGTTGGCAACGAGAAATTTTGTATGGAAAGAATTATATTGTAGTCAGCAAGTCGCCTATATACTTGGTTGAGTCTGCGATCTGGCAACATTGCATAATATTACTTCGTGGGTGTTAAGTTGGCTTGAATATTTTTAAATATATTGAAATCCTAATTTATAACATATTTACTTATGCTATAGATTTATCGTATTTCTAACTGTGGCTTTTGAATATTCGATTGCTTTCTTTGGTTTATTTTAGTTGATTTCTTTTTTATTCTTTGCGATCTGGCAGCACCACTTAATAACTGTGTGCATTAAGCTGGCTGCGATAGATTTTTAACAGAAATAAATAAAATATCGTTGAAGTATGCAATTTCTTTAAACATTGCTGCACTTATAATATGATTATAACAGCAAAGTATAGCTGAGTTCATATACTGAAAGCTAAGCACATTCTTTTGATAACCACATTTTCATTTGGTGTAACCTGTTAAGCGCTGTATATTACCATTCTCTGTCTGCTGGGCTGCTCATTGTCAGACTAGACGCTCGGTTACAGTTCATAAATTCAGGGAATTATGAGCCGTAACGTTGCGACTCCTAAGCGGAAGCGCGTCCATTGCAAACGCAATGGTGGCACGTACACCAAATGGCCAAAGCGCCACCTCCGCTGCTTATTTGAAACGGGGGCCAGCCAACAGGTAATAACGGTTGCACGATTGGTTAGCCTGACAGTTTTTAGAATTTACAACGTTCAAAATGGCAAAGTCAAAGCTGAAAGCATGCCAGACGAGCTGCCCTACCCCCTTACCCTCTATGCAACATGTTTCATTCGGCGTAGCATTACAGTTGCAGGGCGCGTTGATGGGGTGTTGGGGGACGACCACAACAAGTTGTCGTCATAAATTCGCTCTTTGTATTTGCTTAAAGGTCGCCGCATTTCTTTTGTCTACCGCAAGCCATTTTATGACAAATCGAGGTGATTATACCCTGTAAACATATAGCGGGCTGAAAATGGGTATGCTAACGTGATGTAAACGTGTGTCAGGAAAAATGGAGAAACATTTTTTTGTGTATAATCTATAATTTAATTTCTGTCCAAAGTTGTAGCTTATCAAATACTGTTTGGTAAATACAATGTTTGGACTCAAGGTATTTATGCTGGGTCTTCCTTAAATATTATTTATATTGAACAAACACAATTTTATGGGAATATATGCGTCGATTCTTGTAAGATTTGATATTTGATTTATGTATACACCTAATTAAATACGATTTCTCTTAATTCATTTAATTTTAATAGGCTCACATAGTATTAATTCAAGTTATTTTAGATTACGTATATTGAAGCGTGGATTGGAGTTTGTTTCGTGGCAACTGGCGCCCAGAGCATTTGCTAGTCAAGCATACCCAGTTGTGGTGGCTGTCATAATTTTATGCGGCAGACAATATCGTCATTTTATGTTCGGGAAATCGATGGAAGTTTTACGATTCGCATTCAGCTCAATGTCGCATTCGCATTGATTTTGTCAGCGGCTCAAAGTTCATGCCACAAAAAGTGAGTTGAAGTTGAAGTTCAGGGCGGCAATCGCTTTAATTGAGTTGCCGGTGCTCATGCATATGCAAGACTCAATTAAAAGTGCGCCCAGAAAAAGCTGTAGACAAACAAACAGAAGACGCGCCGGCACATACCAGATAGTCGACCTGGCAGCCCCTTCTGCTGATGAGCTGCCGCGATGCAAGAACTTGGCAACGTCTGCAAGTGACTCGACTGAGCGTCTGCGGCGTTTTGTTGACATTTTGCGGTATGGAAAAAAATTAAATTAAAATGCAAATTAGACAGCCGAGGAAGACGCTAGCGCGCAGTCACAGTGCCTGCAAACCGGCCGCTTACCAACAGTGACAAATTGTGGCAAACAAAAATGTTGCGCATACGCCCGGCGGGACGAACCCTTGACTCTGTCAGTGTCACCTACGCAGAGGTCGGCTAGGAATTACCTATATATATTGTATGTTTTGGCTGGCGACTTTCGTATGCCACTCCCAGGAGCGTTCTGCTCCTGAGCCCGCCTGTCGCGGCCCATCTTAAGCTGAAGATGAATGTTTTTATTTTTGCCAGCCTCTGTGTCTTGGCTGCCTTTTGTAGCGGTAAATTATGCAAAGTAGTTACGTAATGCGCTTGTTACAATAATTTAATCTTGTAATCTGTTGCTGTTGCTGTTGCTGCGGCAAGTGCCATAAATAATTCAGCTGCCTGGCAGACACTTAACGTTGCATCTTCGAGCGAGCTGCCCCAAAAAGTAGTAACAGCAGCAGCAGCAGCAGCAGCAGCAGCAGCAGCAGCGGCATCTGCTTTCGTCTGGTTTGTCGGCATTTTTGCATTTTTAATTTCAAGGTAAACAAACGACAAACAACTTTCAAGTCGAAACGGAATTCTAATGAGCTGTCTTAAGGTGACTCTGCCCCTGCTCTTGCCACCGGCCCCCAGCCCCACCCTCTATCCTTTACCTATCAGCCACTGTCAGCCAAATTGACATTTCAGCAAAGCGCGCACGTTAATTCAATTTTGGAGCTCAAAGAAAAATAAAACCAGTGAAAAGTTTTTAATGCCAGCCCAAAGATAAACCAACCCTTTGACGTCGCGCAGCTCCGCTCAACCTCCTCGCCAGGGGTTGGGCGCAATGGTAAAAAGAAAATATATTATTTGCGGTGCGTAATTAGCTGCAAGCTCTTTAAAGGGCTGCTTAAAGTGTACTTTCGCTATAAACGACAGGTCATAAATCAGCTGCAAGAACGCAAATCCACTCCCAAATCGCAGACAACATAAAATTTCAATAACGCCTTAACCCAAATGCTTGTCTCTGTTGCTATCTCCATCTGGCACACACCATGTGTGTGTCTGTGTGTGCCTGTCTGGGCTCCTGGCAAGGTGCACCGACTGCTGCTGCACGGGCAAAACCAATAACAAACAACAAACGGAAGCAATACAGGTTGACACGTCGAACGGATACAAATATGGCGCTGTTAGTTCCGCACCAAGACAAAACCCGTGGCGTAATGTAACGGAAACTCTATTGAATTGCGATAAAAATCGCGTTTGCCTTGCCTTGTCCTCGTCTGCCAAACACACACACACACGCACACACACATGCACACAGGGAGAGAAAGAAAGAGAGAGAGGCTAAGCCATTTTTAAAGCATACTTTGCGGCTTGTCAACAGGCGGCAAAATTTATTGAAATTGCGC